GGAGGGGAGGGGAGGGGAGGGAGGGAGGGAGGGAGGGGGAGGGAGGTAGAGGTGTGCTCGCTGCCCAAGCCACTCGGGACATTGTCTTCTGACGGATGAGTTGGCCAAGTCAAAGCCCAAGCCAACCTCACAATTCTAATTGTTGTTTCGGTCCGAGAACTCAGGCTTCGGGGCCTCAAAACTCTACTCTCAGAGACCAACCACAGCAGCTGTTCCTTAATTCTCAATGAGGGCTTCCTGCCGGGCGCTGCCAGCTCTAATGTCGCAAAACATCACAACAACACAGAAACCCTGCTCAACCTGGTGCATCACAGTGTATGAAGGAGGAGATGCCTATAGCACTGTTACCAAGGAGCCTCTGCAAGGAACTGGTCTGGATGGGCATGGAGCTGTCTGGACAGCTCCTCACGGCTTCGATCCCCTCGCAAAGACCGCAGCTCCTCCCGACAAAGGTTTGTTGATGTGGGGATGTTTTAAGAACCGGGGCAATTGTTTTACACATCCTTTTGGCTTTGATGAGGAGTGAGGATCTTAAGGCCTCCGGCTGGGTGAAGAAAGCTGCATTAAATTCATTAAATGAACGTCCCTCTCCCAAGGTCTCGTGCCCTAGGCCTGCGAGACAAGGGGCAGGACTTCATTCTGTGGCGTGGAAACACAGAGACAGCAGTTTCCAGAGAACCCGAGCTGCACAGGCGGCTGCCTTGTAGGCTTAGGTCGATGAGGCTTTGGCCAGGTGAAGACTTTGCAAGGTTTGAAGCTCACCTACCAACTTACAGGAAAACATTATGTCACTGCCCATAGAGCAGCAAAGCAAAACCACAGGATTCCTAATCGCAGGGGTCTCCGTTCAAACTGCCTGACCAACCGGAACCGTACTCCCAATTCGGAACGACCCCATGTCAAGCCGCAACATCCCCTCGTTCCAATGACGCGATGCGGAAGTGTGCAGAATCCACAAGACAACGGTCTGCATGTCTTCGATCTAGAATCTAGGACCGCAGCAGTAAGAAGTAGACTCAAAGAGCCCCAATTACATCAGGGCGACAGTAAGAATTTGTTCTTCTACTAGCTCTTGCTCAACAGGAAAACGCACAAGCTTAGCAAAACAAGGGCATTTAACATAGAGGAACATGTAGCAACGCAAAACTCTGAAAACAACACCTGAATTCAAGTCTTGGGCTTGGAGTTCGACTCTCACACTTCGCAGATCCAGTGGAGTGTTTGACGAGGCTGTCCGTAGGAGTGGGGCAGACGGGAATCCCCAGCAGCTCTCTCGCTTTTTCGCCGGAGTATCACTGAAGCCGGGCAGAGAGAGCCCTAAGGAAGCGAGGACAGCTTGGTTGGAGGCAGCTCGTGAGACTAGCACGAGTGCGCTTCATGCTTAGGCTTAGGCAAGTTCCGGCCAGCAGTTCAACAAATCGAACTACAAGAAACATCTTCTCCTTAGATCAACTGCAAAGGGTCTTCAATTACAGCTGGCATAATCAAGCATACAAGTGCCTTTAAGCTGACTTTAGTACCTAATAAGACGGAGCCCCCCAAACCTAAACCCTCTTTCAATTTGGGGCTACGAGGTGGACTTTGCTTGACACTGAGCCACCGCATGCGTCCTCCAGTGTGAATCGTGCCCTAGCAGATTGAAGAGCCGCGAGGACGTCAACACTCCGTGGCGCCAGTACTGCGTTCGCAAAAGCGATGCACCACTGCAGCGCCTGGCGGAGAGGAGTTGAATTCGACTAAGGATCTGCTTTGTTGGCACTATAAGCCTGGGGGAGAGGAGTTGAATTCCACTAGGGTCGTGGTTTGTTGGTACTATAGATGTTTGGGGACGCTATGGAACAAGTAGGCCCTCACAATATGACATCGCAAAAGTCTTTGGAACCACAAGCTGGGTACAACAGAACTCTCACCCTGCATCTGAGCAACTCAATCAAGGCAAAAACCAGGAATGCTGAATCTGACATTGGGTCCGTGCATGTCCCCGCCAAAACTCTTGGCAACACTACCCTGGCAGATGGTTATTACAGGGACACTGCGATCCTCAAAGGATCAGGAGATGCTTGCCTCCTGCACTTCCGGCTTGCTCATCAGATGGGTCTGGGTATGCTCCTGCTCCCTCGCGGGGAAATAGACTGGGAAGAGCTCCGTCAGCAGCTGGTGGTCTTGTGGCCCCAGCTGCCATTGCTGGGCGGCCGCCATGTGCCGGACAAAGTGAGACTGATTCTTGGTTATTCTACTAAGTGTCAAGGGGGACACCTTGTCGTTGCATGTAGGAGTGCCTAGCTGCGCCAATCCGCCGCAGTCCATGAACTGAAATCATCGGCCTACTCATGTGTCTGGCATGTTGCACAAGTTACCTTGCACACTCCCACCGGGCCGGAACTATGCAAAGGCATGGGGCGGGGCGGGGGGGGCGGGGGGGGGGGGTCTCTGCGAGGTTTACAGCCAAGCTGGCATAGCAAGCGGTCAGGCATTGATCCTCGGAGCCTCAAGAGACTTCACAAGCTCGAAACCTGTCGGCCCCAAGGTCTCCCTGTCCGGATGTGCACAGCGCAGGGATGCAAAGCCAGCTCAGCCATGGCCTGCCGCGCTTTCTGGAAGCACGGCTTCTGGCAGCCGGCAGCCTAACCATAGCATCAGTTTGCCCAGGAGAGGAAAGTCAGCAAACGCGCCGGGGCCCTTCTAATCAAAGCAGGAGCGGCCGTACTTGCGCGGCAGGTCTGCTGCGTCTTCGGGGACGCTATGGTGCGAGCGACAAAGCCGTTAGCCTAAACTCTTTGAGTCCTTAACCCCGACCCTTGCGAAGAAAGCTTTCCTTTTCAGGCAGGGTCTTGTAAGTAGAAAGTGTCAGAAAACAATGTCGCCTCACTCTGAAACTGTAAGTTATGATCGAACTTGTTAAAGCGTACTACACTATGCGAATGGTACAAGAACTACGGGCATGTGACGTGATGCTTTTCGCGATGCGTTTCCGTCCGGGCTTCGAGCCAGTTCATAGAAAAGGATGCTTGGCCGGTTTGGGGTTTCAATCGTGTAGCGCAACGACCTGAAACTGGAGGGCCAGTTGCAGGCAAAGTGCCACAGGTGTTCCTAGCCTCGGGGTGTCCAGGACTTTCGGATTCGAGGTTCAGGGTTCTGGGTGCTGAGGGAACCGGTGTGCAGGTGCCAACACTTCCAGCAGTGTCCTGCTGGAGGACACCACATCCCATTGAGCACATGAATCAAAAACCCTGATCGTAACCAAGCCCATTTGCAGGAGTTCGAAGACAGCGAGACCTCTCAAGCCAGCTTTGGTCACAGCTTTGATTAGGAAATCCTGCAAAAGCTGAAACGTCGAAGTAACCTGACAACACGTACCTGTAGGCTGTGGCAAACAATCTTCTACCAAGATCGAAAACAGATGTAGCAGTACTTCGCGAGAGGGGTACGATCAAATGTAAATGAATGCGCAGGTGACAAAGCACATCACAACAAGATAGACAAACTGATGAATGCCTAACCAGACGCGTGCTGCAGCAGGGCGTGCGACTGTCAAGGCCTACTAACGCTGTGCAACAAGCGGTCGTATGCCAACACTCTCGACCAATGCCCAGCCGGTGCACTTCCGCAATAGATGATCTCACGAGATATCTAAATATCTATTAGTTACAGACAAAAACGTCGTCGCCTAACCCTAAATGACTAAACCAAGTCTTAACATCCCCCTTTTGAGCGAAGTCATGGGCTTTGGAGTTCTCACGGATTCAGCCGGCCTTGTGCCACGTGCAAAGAATGCTGCCTACAAATCACCTAGAGACCAAGTTGATTAGGTCCTGGACCCTGGCAGCTTGCCGAAGCGGGCGAGGCTTCAGGCCTATGGCTTCAAATTCCTGTGCTCAGGGACCGGAGGTCTGCAGGCTGGAGGGATGCAAAGTTAGATGGGTTTGGGACAGAACGAAGTTCAATTTCATTCGGACCCTGCAGCGAGTGCAGGTCAGCATGGAACGAAACTGCCCTCTCGAGCAATGGTTCGGTCAGTGTTTACAAGTGAAGGCCTCCGGAAGAACCATCCTGGCACAGAGACGTATGCCACTCTGATCGCGGCTTGTCTGATGCGCGATTGTGAAGATGAAGACCGTGATGCTAAGACATGAGGTGAAGAATCAACATGGCAAAGAGTAGTAGTCGTCTTCGTAGTGGCAGTCATAGCAGTAGCAGTAGTAGTAGTAGTCATCGTCGTCGTCGTCGTCGTCGGTTTGTCATAACTGGGAATCTCGCAATTGTAACTAGTACTGTGACTGTCTTCCTCCTGTTTCTCCTCCTTTGTCCTGGTGCTACTGTTACGACAGCACTGCAAGTACCACCATCGGCAAGTCCATGAGGATTTTTGCCGCCAACAGGACTACAACAGTCATTGGCTGCTTCCTGCGACAACGAATGCCGCTAGCATCAGCTGGATTGTTGAAACCTGGTTGCTGCTAGATTGTCATTGTTGCCTCTCGTTTGAGATGACAATGACTGGGGTCGTTCTGAATTTGTGCTGATGACGGCGGCGAGAAGTATGATTAAGGCTTGGCAGTCATGACAGCATTCTTGTCGTTGTGTCTGTGAGGTGTTTCTTCTGCATCACGAGCATCTGCATCTACTGCTGGTGGCAGGCACACCCTGAGCCAATGACATTCAAATCCAGGAGCTTGCCACCCGCTGCGTGCACCATGCCATCGAAACCCTCGTCGCTGAGGGCCTGAGAGAAACCGCGCACACGCACAGGTGAAATCCTAAACCCTGCTACTGTGCAGTGTCCCCGGTGAGTCGCTCCACGACTGGTCAAGCACAGCAGGGGTGCATAACGCTCCTCGGAGTCATTATCTTCGTTGTCGTCATTGTCGGATGCCATCTGCAACTTGCGCAGAACCTGCTCGTGGGAATAAGGAGAAACTTCCAAACACTTCCCATCGAGCTGACTGTCATGAGCATAATTTCGATGCTTTGACTTTTACAATGAGATGTCGGTGCATTATCTAGGACATCCGTAGGAATAAGAACTGTCAAAACATACGCTTTTCAAACCCCTATATCACCATGCTGTTCAGTAACCACTGGGAAGTGTGTGTGTGTGTGCATCTATCTAATTAAGATATGCACATGTATGTTATTCTTGTCTTACTAGGTAGGAACCCAAAATAGGAAAAGGGTACCACTGAGATCTGACATTTCTTTCGGACAGCCGTGAAACCTTGGCCTGGTCCATCTGCCCTGGCTCAGCAGTCCCGTCCTCGTCTGCGGCTCTGAAAAGAAGGGTACAAGGGTTTAGGGTTTAGGGCGTGGGTGGCTTCGGGAGTGCTGAACATCGCAACTGCAACTCGAACCGTTACTGTTGCACCAGTGTAGATTGAACTAGCAGCTAGCACCGTGGCATGATTGCTGGCAGCAGCTGGTTCCGAACGAGGAAGACCAAGCACCCGCGAAGCAACTTGTTCGTTCATGCGGCGCGGCAAAGCCACCAGCTGTTGCAACGTGCAGCTGGGGTGGAACAGAAATTCCTGTCTCTCGGAAAATATTGAGTTGAAACCATGGCTGATACGTGGCGAGCTGTCCTCGCTTTCTGTATCCTCATCCTGCCGCCGGCTCGCTGCCTGCAGGAGTTGTGGGCTCAAAATAGTAGAGTCTAATCCTGAACCCGTGACACATTGGGGATGGATGTTCATTGGATGTGCCCTCTGGGGGGTCGGATCGGGGCCAGCAGACTGCACAACAGTGTTTGGATAAGGTCGCATATATGTACATAAACCCTCTAACATCGACAAGCCCTACTACACCCTTGAACCCGCCAAAATCCAGAACACTTTAAGTCGCGATGAAGTCCCAAAGCTTCTGGTCAAATTGGCCTTTGGCTGGCGGGGTCTTTGTCGAAAGAAGGATGCCGTCGGCAAAAGCAAGCGAAAAGCGCGGCACAACTCTAAATTTGGCGATTCCCGGTGGAAATTTATGTAGTTCTGGGAGCGGACAGGGAATGCGGAGAGGCCCAGAAAAGCGAACGACGAGCGAAACAACCTGCAGCAATTTCCAAACTTTCAGAGCCGAAATCCCCAGCCCCCGTGAGGACAGGGAAGCCTTCGCTCACAGTGCCCAGGGCGTAAAGTAACCTGGCGACCCACCACCCTGATCCTTAAAAAATCTCTAATCCCCCAAAAACCTTAAACCCTGAATCTCTAATGGCCCTACTTGCGCCTAAAAACTTCGATCCCACGGACAGCCACTACTCCTACCTGGAGACAGCAACTGTCACTCGAGCTCGAGCCGTGACACCTAATCCCACCAAACCCTGAATCCTAAACCCCTATAAACCCTAACAACCCGAAATCTCACGCCAGGTCGGCCTTCTCCCTGAGTCGGAGCGTCTCTTTGCTTTGGACGGCCAAGGTGGTGACGAGGTGGGGCAGTCCTGCTTTTCTGTTTTTTTGGTGTTTTTTTGGGTTGAGGATTCTGTCTCTAGATTTCTAGCAAAGGTCTCAAGGGGTCTACAGGGAGTCCACACGGTTCCATAGGCTTCAGGGCTTTCGGGCTTTCAGGGTCACCATAGTCTAGAGCTCTCGGGGCTGCAGGGTGGCCATGGTCTAGAAAGCTTTGCGGCTCCATCGAGCTGGCCGGCGCCGAGACAACGCAGCTTCGCGACCAAACCACAAAGGAAGAGGTGCTTCGTCCCCTTATAGGGCTTATAGGGTTCATAGGGCTTATAGGGTTTATAGGGTTTATAGGGCCCAAAAAAATGCGAAGAAACCAAAGCTTTTACATGCATGAGACGTTGGCAAGTTGATTGCAGTTCTCGCAGCGCATGAGAGTCCTTGCGCAAGGTTGGCCGGGAGTGCCTGCGAACACGGGGCTGGTTTAGGGTTCCTCCAGGGCTTAGGATTTAGGTTCGGGGGGCTCTGCCACCCGCATTGCTGCTTTCGCATATCTCAGTTGCCACGAATTATTCTCGCCCTTTGTTGCTAGAGAATCAGAGCAACACACCGCAAGGTCAGTCTGTGAAACTTGGAAGCTTTCGTACCTGGCTAGTTGATTCCCCCAGAAGGGCTTGAAGTTGCAGACTGCACGCAGGCTCAGGTTCTATCGTCCCAACAACCAGTGCTTAATGTGTCGCCTGCGCAAAGGCCATACGCAAAAGTTGGACCAAGCCCAGCAGCGCCACCTGGTCAAACAGCGGCTGCTGAGAGGTGTGGGCATATACCATATATAGATACCCGCGAACCCGAAAGAGTCAGGGCAGCCGGGACATCCATCAACCTGACTGAACAACCACTTCCAAAAAAGCTGTCAAGCATCCTAAGCCTCCAAGACTCCAAGCACTAGTCCGTAAGCATCATGTGCTCTTAACCCCGAAATCCCAAACCCTATAACCCCCAAAACCCGGAAACCCTAAACACCCTACAACCCTAAAGCCTTTAAGCCGAAAGCCCTGCACTAAAACCCTCTTAGCATCTTCTAGCACACTGACAGCAACCCTTGTATAGGATTCACGAAGCCCCAAAACCCTAAACCCTAAACCCTATAGACCCTAAAACCCTAAAACCCTAAACCCTATAAACCCTAAATCCTAACCCCTATAACTACCCATGAACCTCCAAGTAGATCCCGCAAAGGAACCCGAAGCCCTCAACCCTGCAGGCGCCAGCATTTCACAACCCGAGGAAAGGAACCCCAAACCCCTCAACCCTGAACCCGAAAACCCTAGGGGTTTAGGGCTTAGGGTTTAAGGTTTATAGGGTTTAGGGTTTAAGGTTTAGGGCTTAAGGTTTGGGGCTTAGGGCACGTAAATGTAGAATGTCAGGTGCCGACCTCAGCATCAAGCAAACTTACTGCTGTGCTGCAGTGACTGTGTCTTAGTTTTCCGGGTTCGTGGTCCGAAATTGGCCACAGACACACGCAGAAGAGTGGAGTACGGATGCAGAGATAACCCTGATTTTGTCCAGATGTGGGTCTGGACGCTGGTCCTGATTGTATGTGCGACAGCGCACGGCGCTTAGCCTGAGAATGCAGTCCGCATAAAGGCCGTGCTTTTGGAAAGTATAGCTTGCATGAGCCCTATCACGACAAAGCTGACCTCATGAACCATAGCTACATCTTTGTCTCAAGTGCAAGACGTCTGAGATGTGACGAAGACGGTGGAAGAGATTCTGTTTTGTGGTGCTGCTTCCGCAAAAAATTGGTGAGTGCTGTTGGGCGAACCACTGCAGTCCAAGATTTAGAGTGTGAGACTTTTGCAGTAAACCCTAAACCCCTAAACCCCTAAACCCGAAACCCAAAACCCCTAAAAGCCCTTAAACCCCAAACCCCCAATTAAACCCCATTTAAACCCCTAAAAACCCAAAACCCTAAACTCTAAAACCCTAAACCTCCTAACCCCTTAACCCAAAACCCTCTAAACTCTAAAAAGCACCGAAAAAACCCATAACCCAAAACCCTAAACAACCCTCTAAAAACCCTCTAAGCCTTCCGATGCTTCAAGCGCCGGAGCGAAGAGAGCTTCTGCATCCACACCTGGGGACCGTACCGAGGCCTTCCCTAAAAGCCCTGACCACCAATTAGCAATATGCGTACGGTTTAGGGGTTTAGGGTTTAGGGGCTTAGGGTTTGTGGCGTATGGGTTAGGCTTTAGGATTTTGGAGGTATTTTGGGTCTGAGTTTAGGGCGGGTCAGGGGTTTAGGGTTTGAGGGCGGAGAGTTGACCCTCCTGTTTCTTGAGGGCCATAGTGCTAGATCCCTCTCATCTCCCCGCCTGAACCCGTAATCCGCATCCTCTTTTCGGGCCATCGTCGTATGACGGTTCAGGGTTTAGGGGCTTAGGGTTTTTGTGATTCTCTTCCCACCCCAGGTGAGGCCTCTTCCCGACTAACACTGACGCAGTTGTGTGGGTCCGCGACACTCGATTGGGGCTTGGGGTTTGGCGTTCTGTTAGGCTTTGGGTTTGGGACTCGGGTCTGGGACTTGGGCTTGCAAGGGCGAGTTTCGGCTTCTGGCTAACTGATACTCGATGCAGGAATATTAATGGTTTAGGCTGTATAGGGCCTATATAGGGTTTAGGGTTTTAGGGTTTAGGGGCTTTAGAGCCTATAGGGTGGCTTCTAGGTTGGATTTTGCTGTAATTACACATGCATTTGTACTTGAACCGTTGATGCTCCTGAACCTTGCATTCCCACACGCAAACAACCCCAAACCCTGGCTTGTCAACCCGTTGACCTTAAAGCCCTGCAGCTCCAAAACCCTGACATTCCGTGCAAACCCAGCGCCTTAAACCTCAAAGCCGAATTAAATGTTAAAATCTGAAAGAAGGCCTGTGAAACTTTATCAACCATGGCGACAAAAGCGTTCTACAACCCTGCACAACCTTACTAACTCCCTTCAAAGCCCTTCCATAGGAGCCTGAGTCATTAGACATAATACATAGTAATACCATATCCCAGCATTCCATATGATAGCATACCCCCAAACCTAATCCTAAAAACAATAAGGCCCCCATACTCAGTGCGTGTAGCACCCTTCGAATAACCCCTTAAAGAAGGGTTGAATGAGCTCTGTTCCAAAGGCATCTATATCGGGGGGTTCCGAAAATAGGGGACCCTAGTATAGTACCCTACATAGTAGGATCCTTATTATCAGGACCCCAAAACCCTAATTTTCGGAAAGTCCCATATGAACCGCGGGGTCTTCTGTGGGCCTCAAAAAGCTGGATGGTGACTCCCCGCTGCTCAGTGCATCGAAGGAAAAGCTCCGGGTTGTACCTCCGATGGCTCAGGGAATGCTTTTTGGGGTGTTAGGGTGCTAGGGTTTGGGGTTTAAGGTTTAGGGCTATGTTTAGGGTAGGGATCTTGGGTTTTTGGGTGTCGTGGCTGGGAGGTTTGGGCTTTCGCTGGCGTTTCGGGTGTGGGGCTTGGGGCCTGGATTGTGAATTGGTGAATTGGGCTTGTGTAAGTTCCTGCAGGGGCTGTTCGAGGGTGTAGGGTAGGTGGAAGGTTCTTTTTGTCAAGGGGTTCGCGATGCACATTTCGAACGAAACTTTGGATTCATGGACTGGGTTCCGCATTCCGAGGCAACTGCATAGGGGCCTTAATAATAAGAATAGGGCTTTGGAGTATGCTCTACCACAGCGGCAATATGGCACCCTAAGGAACAATTTATCCATCCCCCTACAAAACCCTAGAAACCAACAGATATTAGTTTGAAGTAGCCCTAAAAGGAATCCTCAAATTATTCAGGCCTCTATATTACCCCATTACCCTGCAAGGTCACCACATCTGCGTGGCAAAGGCCACAAGCAAAGCTTGCCGGAGGTCGCTGGTCTCAACTTCGGCCACCCGCGTCCTGAGGGCTTAGGATTTTTCGGGTTTAGAAGTAAGGGCCTTAAGCGGTTTCAAATAAGGGAATCGGAATGAATCGTATATAGGGATTAGAAGTAAGGGTTCGGGGGGTTTAGGGCTATCGGATGTAGCTTAGCAGTAATGATGTAGGGGTTTAGTGTTTTGTTTTTGTTTCAGGGGCATCTTTTCCACCTGCTGGTATGTTAGCTGCGGGAAGCCCACGTGGGGCAGGCAACTGACTAGCAAGCAACCACCCCCTCGGAACATGTTGTCGACCACCATGTCCTTCATGTCTATCGTCATCAACCCTTTTCGCTGCTGGCGGTAGATCACCCTGAGCTTTCCCCTCCCCCTGTGATTGCCCACTCCATGGTGAGCCACTGCATCCCTGCCTTTTCGACCGCGCCATCGGTCATCGGCCCGCTTCCACTCCGCAAAGAGGACCTCCAACGTCTCGTCTGTCAGATACTCCGGAGCGGCACCAACAAAAGGAGCCGAACCCTCTGGACTTCCGTCCACATCATCCAGTCGCAGGCGCATCTCCAGCTCTGCGTGTCCTCGCCGAGGCTGGAAGACCACCATCTCTCCTCGATCGCGGGTATTGGCCCTCCAGGTTCCGCCCTTTGTCCGCAGGGAGGCTTTCTCCGCATCTCCCACTCTAAACCCTGTCTCTTTAGCTTTTCCGCCTCAGAAAACGACCTTCTTTTTCTTGGGCACGGGAGCTGGTCGCTGCTCCTCTTCCAGGTCGTGTGCTGCTTCCTCCGCCCGCAGTCGACGATCATGATTTCTTTTTTTGTTGCAGGCGCTGGTCCTCACAGAGCATCGCTGCCTCTGCCGCCGCCTTGAGCAATTCCCCTGGATCCCACTGCTGATTTCTAACGCTCCGTCCCGTGGACAGTCCGCCAAGACAATTCCGCCGGCATTAATCCAGCTGAGGCAATCGTCTCATCCTCTTCGTGGTCCTGAGGTCCTTGCCTTCTCGTATGCGTGGAGGCTGGTCTGCATCAGTCACTGCAGCCACGTCGCGCTCCCGAACAACGGTTCAGGAGTTTAGGCTTAGGGTTGATGTTTTCGGAGTTGCTGCGTCCTTACTGAGAGCCAGAGAGAGAGAGAGAGAGAGAGAGAGAGAGAGAGAGAGAGAGAGTCGTCAAGGATTGGACAAGCAAAGTGTATGCGGCATGGGCTCCATGAAGGTTCGGGTTCAGGGTCTAGACTCACATGCCAGAAGAATGTGGTATCAAAGATGTCGTCCGTCTGCCTAACAAATGCCAGAGGTTCTTCTCATCATTTGGACCACGACCAACTAACCCAATCCGAGTGGGATATCTTAATGCTGTGCAGACAAGCACACTACAATAAACGAGAAAGGTTACGACACACCATGGTGTGTCTCAGCATCAGATAATAGCGGAGAGACTCTACAGCAGCCCCGGGAACACTTACACAGACATAGGCCAGGATGAAGCCGCGGGCCTTTAGAATTGCTCTCTCTGCTGAGTTCCCGGCCAGAATTCTGCGAAATAAGCAGGGAGCCAAGCATCAGCAACTGCCAGGGCTTCTTGGTTCGGAGTGGTTTTCTTAGGACTTTGCTGGCCACGTGCCTGGCTTCCATGGTGTAACAGGAAGGAATGTGCTCCCAAGTCTGCCAAACCAACCGCTGAAACCCTAAACCCAGCCTTTACCCAAGAACTCTGCAGGGCAGACGTGAGGATGTCCTCCACAACCCTTAACCCTCAAGCCCTACTGAACCCGAGACACCCTAGACCCTAGAAGCCCTAAACCGAACAACCCTGAACCCTGGCTGAAACTTAAAGCCTGAAGACTCAAGATCCTCATGACCGGGCCGGACGATGCCTGGAGGTGTCGCGTGGGCGAAGAGTGCTGTAGCCAGTTCGGCGGCGGCTGCGGCGTCCTCAAACAATAGGGTCTTGGGTTACATTAAACTGCAACAAGAAGCAGGCCTACCCGGACTAGTTGTACTAATCTAGCTACTATAGAGTCCCTTGTTGCAACACACAAAAGCTCCAATGAGCCTGGATTTTCACTTCCCTTGCCGCATGTGCTAGCTGCTAGCTTATGCGCAATTCCGAAATGCTAGGGCCAAAGAGTCTCCTGGAGGAGGAGAGCTGTACAGGTATCCTTGGAGGCGAGGCATCTTGAAAACTCTGATCAGGCGCAGCCTGGGCTGAGCCAGTTCCGCGTTTTTCAGCGAGCCGTTTAGTGGGCCCTCACCTGTACAGTTAGGCTGCGCCTGAAGAAAGGCACTATGTCAAGCTGTTTGGAAGTGTTGGCAATATGAATTTCATATTTTGATGCCGGGGCTTTGTGTCCAGCCGGCACAGGGCGCCAGGACTTTGTGTCCTTTCGGCGCTTGGGTCTTGCAGAAAGCGGGAGACTCGGCCATGGCAGCTGACGCAAACCCTGCCATATAGAGGACAGTAGACTTATGTATATATGATAGAGGAAAACTCATGAACACCCTAAACTCGAAACCCAACATCCAGACTCTGACTCAGGGCCCGTCAGGCACCTGCTCAATCCGTCCTGGGCTCCACCATCGAGGACGCTTGAGCGCACCCTGACAAACACATGTGGACTTTACAGAGCTTCGTCCTGAAAGAGAGGAATTTTTAGCTTTCGCAGCCTTGGCCGCCAACCCAACGCAAACACGCTGTTTCCGGCTGGCTGGTCAGCAAGAGCACTGTAACACCGTAGACCAGGCAAATGGCTGGAACGCCCAGCACTAATGTGGCCGTGATCGGGCTCGACTTCCATTCTGTTTTCCTCCTTCGGGCATCCTCCTTCTGTTTTGGGATCAAGGGCAGTGCGCCAAAGCTTAGCAGCGTCGTGGCATAAGTGAGCGCGTAAGACCAGGCTACCGTCGAACGGAACTGGGGTGTGTCGGCCACATAGTTCTCCAACTTCGAGAGGGAAGGAGTGAAGAGGCCATAGACCTGATTGCTGACCACAGTCGCAAGAGGACTGGCGGCATTCTGCATTGTCCCGGCCAAGCCGTAGCACATCCCTTCGCATCCTGGCTCCGATAGCTCAATGATCATCAAGTTTGAAACCAACGCGAGGGCCGCCTTGGGTATGTTGCCAACGATGCCTTCTCCAAGGTAGAAGTATTGATTCCGAACAACTCCGAAGATCGTTAGGAAGGAGGGGATGGCATCAACCACAGAGACGGTCAAAATGGCTACAAGGATTGCTTTTCTCCAGCTGGTCTGGAGGAAATACACCTTGTAGATCCAGGTGGCCAGCATCATCACAAACATGCCCGCTGTGCCAAAGAGCTGCTGCTGCAGGACCTTTACTCCTGCCCACTGGCTCTGGACCATGGGTGTTGCCGTGGTTGCGCTGGCGACAAGGAACTGGACAAGGAAGGCAAAGAACAAGATGCTCGACAGGGCTTTCCCTTTCACGAGCTTCCAAGACGACTGAGCATGGCCTCTGAACGATGGATGCCCGGTCTTCTTGGGCTCATATACCAAGAGCAAGCTGGCTGGAAGTATGAAGACAACCATCGCCAGGCACATCGTCATCAAGCCGCTGAAGGACAATCCCCAGTCAAAGGTGCCCAAATAGGCCTTGCCATTCCTGGGCTCAAGAAGTTCAGCTGCACCAATAAGGAAACCATAATATAATATAATACAATATAACATAATATAATATATATAATATAATGTGATTACTGTTAATTTTCGGCTATGGCAAGTTAACTTACAGAAATTTGGAGGTTCAATAACAGGAGCCCAGGTTCAGGAGTAGTCCGATGACCAGAGACGCGGTCAGCGAGCCTGCTGTAACCACCATGGTCATTTCTGCCTTGATTTGTCCACGCTGCTCTGCAGGCTCTCGCTGGGAGTACTCCAGTAGCAGGCCCTCGCCAGCCACGCTTCCAACTTGCGCACCTGCAATGAGCACGAAGAGAGGGAAGATGTACCAGTTCTTTTCGAGGTGGATGTCCGGATTGCATGGCGGTGACATCCAGTCATAGCTGCCATCAGGGAATTGGCAGTAGTAGGGCGCTGGCAATTTCCGTAGGCTCATCGCCAACAACGCGCTGCCAGAGATGAACCAGGAAGCCACCAAATATGGCTTCCTGTGGTAGCCGAAGATGGGAAAGCAGTCGTTGATCATCCCGATGGGCAGAAGAAAGACTTCGGGAAGCTTCATGAGGGATGCAATCGAAGACATGACATAAGAATCCAAGCCCATGTAGCCCAGGAAGAACCCGTAGACGATGCCAGATGCAATGGCGTTCAGGAACGCCAGAAGGAAGGCGCTGAGAGGCAAGCCACAAGTTTTCCAGGTCCAGATGCTGATTGGTTCACACCCGACCTCGTCGAGAGCCTTCTCCACATCCTTCACAAGCTCCGTCGTAGATTTTGCAGACACAGGATCTACGGAGAAGTCATCCACACTGATAGTCTCGCTGTCCGTGAGGCCTGAGAGCGTAGTGCTCTGGCCTTGGGTTGTACTTCAAGGGCCCCCCAAGGTGAACAGGAATAGCTACGTAGTCCTAAATGCTAAATCCTAGGGATCCTAGACCACATCCACGGAATCACAACGGAACTTCACAATGTTTCCCATGGTGCCACCTTCAAAGCCTATAGAACCCTTAAACCTAGCTCTACAGGATCATAGTTAACCCCCATAAACCTTATGCAACCCTAGAACATCCTGATAAAACGCTTATGCAACGTAAAACCCGAATAAGGCCCTTCCAACACCCACAACAGCCTCACAACAACCCTATACAAGCCGAAGAAGACCCGTACCAACCCTACAAAAGCCAATGTAACCTTGTTGAGGCCTTCATACAGCAGCATAAAATCCCAGATAAGTAAGCCTGGATATATGGAAACCTTAGACGTCAACCTTATTATAATATGAAAAAAACCCCACGTTCTAAAACTCAGTCGAGGGACTGATGTCGGATTTGGCAGTGTGCTCCAAATCGGATGGCTTCATGGGACCTCGGGTGGAACTAAGGGTTTTAAGGGGCTTTTTACCGGCTTCGGGCTTAGGGGAATCTCGGGCTTTTTGGGTTTATGGTTTAGGGGTAAGAGTTTAGGATTTAGGATACTCCTAGAGAACCTAAGGATTTTCGCGGGGCTTAGAGCGATTTGTTCAATCGCTACAGGGATGTTACGAAGCTCTTGATTGGTCTTATGAAGGTTTCATGCAGTCTTACGGGGCTGTAGCAGGGCTTTGTAAGGTTTTTTGTTGGGACTGCATGGGGGGGTTTTGAGGGGGATTGCAAAGCCCAGAAAAGTTGCGTCGGTGGTAATATTTCCACACGGTAACGTGATATTCTCAACAACATTATTCTTCAACGCATGTGATATGGGGAACCCGAACTGAGCGCCAAATAGCATTGGACTCTTAACTAGCCCTTCACCCTAAAGCCTAGACCCGCAGTTTCTCCCCCCAAGTTTAAGAAACATGGCCCAAAAACCCCTGAGTCCTAAACCCTCAACCCGAAAACCCCCACAGTTTCGGACACACCCCACCTGCCTCGACCTCCAGGGGATTCTCGTAGCTGCCGGGTTTCGAGCCACGCTTGAGCTCTGGTCCGGCGCACCCTTAACTCGGGTCTTCATTAGCGTTTAGGGCTTAGGGTTTATAGGCTTCGGGGTTTAGGGTTTATAGGGTTTATAGGGTTTAGAGTTTAGGGCTTAGGGTTTAGGGTGTATAGGGTCTTCAATTCCTTTTGAGGAAGTTCCTTTGAAGCTTGAGGGTTTGGGGTGTTGGGGTTTAGGGCCTATAGGATTCAGAGTTTAGTGTTTCGGGTCTTCAGAGGTACCCCGGAAGCAAGTGGGTATATTTAACCATAAAACGGGAACTTTCAGGAAGGATGTTGGCAGTTTAACAAGTTTTAGGCTCCCATGGTCTCTGTAATACGGAGTTGGCAGGTCTACTAACTGGGATTTATTTAGGCTTCCAAAGGATACGTGCTGTGCCGGGAAGGAGATTTCACAACATGGGGACTTCTGAAAAGTCCGGGCACCTTTACACCCAAAATGATTGAAACCTAAGCCTCAACGATAGAAATCCCCGATACCCAAAAAGGGGACCCTTGTAAGTAGAGATCCTCGTAAGAGGGATCCTTGTAGTTCGGATCTCCAATAAAGTCTCTGGGACATCACCCCGTCTTCCTGCTTTCCGGATTCTTGTTCAGAAACTATGGGTGGTTGCCATAATGCCTTCGTGAGGACAACCTGTTGGTTCGTTTGCTACCTCAGTCTGAAATACCCTTAGACTTGCCGAAACCCTAACCCATGTGTGTCGGGCCTTCTCCGAGCCGACGCCTGGCAAGTGCAAGACCTGCAATGCAGCTGGCTCATACAGGGGGCTGGAATAAACTAGAAGAGGGCTTTGATAAGGGCTCCCTAAACCCTAAACCCTAAATTAGAAGAGGGCCTTGATAAGGGTTGAATAGGGATCCAGAACAATCTAATGAGGCTCTGGCCTCTGATAAGAGGTTAGTTAGATGTCCAAAGACCACGATCGTCCAGGGGCCTGAGTAGTTAGCATAGATTTTCGGGATTTTGAGGTAGATCATACCAGTCATACCATATAAGAAGAGCACTAAGTCACTAAGGCATAATATCGGCAAATATTCAGGCTTAGATAGCATGTTCGTGCAGGCAGACTCACTGTCAGTCACTGTCAAACTTCAAGAAGCATTGACATGCGATGCCGAGTGAGGCGATCGGCTTCCAGCCTTAAAGTTCTTAAAGTCATGCGATATAGCACCAAATGTAATCTATGTATGTGATAAAAATCAGCTAGATTGGGCACAATCAACCCTGAACCTCTGAAAATTGGACAAATGCCTGTCTTCCTTTGGCAACAACACCAGCTCAAGCATCAGCACCAACTCTGGCGCTTAAGCCTACTGCAACTAACACCCTAAGATCGAAACCCGACAAATCCTAACTTCATGACTGCCGAATGCTTGGTTCCAGAAGCTTGTAAGCTTGAGCCCTGTGCGTCACCACAAGTGGCCTTCTTGACCATGTTGAAGACCATGTCGGCATAGGTCATGCTGCCCTTGCTCCCGGGGGGGGTGGAAAAAAGTGCAGAAGGCCGAAACTTCAAACCCCCAGCGCTCGCAAATTGACACTAGAATGGGGGTGTGGAGTATACTACATAGCAACAATTATTGCCTGGAGGACTTTTAGGCCAAAGCAAGTGCCACTTGTGGAGATTCGACGCTTATGTGCGAGAACGGCCACCTCGGCCCAGGTGCCAGAAAAGATTACCTCGATGGGGCCGCGGGCGATGTAGTTCCTCAGCACAGGGCTGGGTGTGTGTAAGAATACGTAGGGATTAGGGCTGAGGGTTTATAATGTAGTGCTGAGGGTTTAAGTGTGTTTGCGTGTATATATTTGTACGCACTCCGGCTTATCGTGTAGAGTTTTCGTATCCTCTTCTTCCAAAATCTTCCGACAAGAGATGCGAGTGGTCGGTTGGCTTATGACCAGAGGCACTGAGAGCCGTACCTTGGCATCTATTGTTTCGGGGTGTTCAAACCTACTTTTGTACGTACTGTGACCTACAAGTAACTATCAGCATAACATGATGCAACGAACGATAGTATGAAATCCTGCATGCAGGCAGCGCATCGAATACATTCAATATAGCCTGTAATCATTGAGCAGAATATGCAACTGATGCACACGAGTATAGGGGCCTTAATAACGCAAACCGGGTTTTGGGGGGGTTTGATCATACTCTAACTATAACTACATAGGGACGGCAAGAAGATAGCATGTTCGGTTTTGCCGACCCCTAGGCTGACGACTGGAATGCTGCGTCAGGTTTCGACAAGGCCCAACACCCAACACCCCTAAATCCTAGTCCTAGACCCGAAACCCTAAAACTTACACCTGCGTCCCAAACCCTATTCCTCGAAACCGACTCGAAACCCTAAATCCGAGAACCCTAAACATCCAAACCCTAAATCCTAAATCCTTGAACCCTTTAAATCCTAAAGCTAAACGCCCAAGGCCCTAAAGGGAACTTTGAGCCCCCGGCAACATCGGCTCCAGGATGCTGGTCATGAAATCTGGAGCCCAGCCACCCTGAACCACTGTGTTCCTTTAAGGGGCCCTTCATGGGACATGGCAAGGGCAATATGAATAGGGGTTTGGGGGTACGATTTCCACCTCTGCAATACCTCGAGGGGGCCGAAATGTAGGCTGTTGGGATTGTAAAGGAGTTGTACTACCCAAAAATTGCTCAAAGGTTACCTACTCGACTGCTAAAGGAACACAAACTGAGGTTCGTTGTTGTGGGTTTGGAAAAAAGCCGCGAAACAAAAAAAAGCATCGATGAGTTAGGGTTTAGGGTTTGGGGCTGCCTGGCTGTGCCATTAATAGTAATTATAGGAGCCTTAATCATTGGAGTAGGGTTTTGGCGTATATTAGTTATACTATAACTGGAATAAGAAACCCCCAAAATAGTATCCCTACCTATGTTACGACTCGGCTCTCGTGCCAGTCTTGTCCCCAGGACATCGTTCCTCTTTGATAACCTTGATACTCGCCCGAACAATCAAACTTGGGTTAATATACTTGTAGTAGGAACCCGAAGGAGAGTATTGTCATGTTCGCCCGAAAAGGCCCCTCTATACTTTAGAACTCCTATGCCTACCTAAACCCTACAGCCCCATAAACTTTGCCATAAACTATAAGCCCTAAGCCCTAAACCCCCACATTCCGACAAACCCTACACCGTAAACCCTACACCCTAAACCCTAAACCCAAGAAGTGTCCTGGAGACTGGAGTCAGAAGATGCGCTCTGCTATGGATAGCTCTGACAGCAGTCAAGGAAATGGCTGCCGGATGAATGCTTGCCTCCGGCTGTATTCTAGATCACAACAACGGCGACACAGACCCTTAAAATCTTAATTCTGAGCTTGAAGACAGACATCTTCGCATAGCTGGGCCTCTTTCTCACAGGGCGAAAATTCGGTTGTGAATGCCCCAGAACTTGTTGTCTGGTATGTGCCAGTCTCGCTGTGGCGCCTCCTCACGTGGGTCGACCTGCGTGGCAGAGCAAGTCTTCCCTTAACAAAGACTCTGGTGCATCACGGTTCCCTTCTTTTGCTTCTCAGAAAGCAAAGATGCGGCGAGAGCCACCCCAGAACCGGCCGTCCGGAATCTGAAAATCTAGCCGCGGGGTTGCTCTGCCGAGGTTTACTTTCCAAGGCAAGTACACGAAGCACAAGACCGACCTCAGAATCCTCGAAACCACGAAGCCCGGACTCACAGAGAACAGCCTCGTCGAAGGAGTCACAATGGATCTTGCTCTCCACGGAAGCACTGTCCTTATTCGCCAGTGCTGCCTCTGACATTCAGGCTAGTCTTGGCAGACAGACCCGCCTCACGCTCATCCTCCGAGAGATCGCCCCCGACTTGAGTACTGATCTCGGTTGCGGTGTCCTTGCAAAAACGAGCTGGGTGTGTGACGATATACACTGAAGATTAGCACAAGGTCCTCCTCCGCGGTTAGCGGCTCGGAGATGACGTCTCCGAACCATCCTTGCTCTGCGGCACATCGCTGACCTCGTCACACTAACATGAAAGATACACCTTATCATTTTTACAGCACCGAGGATCCAGCATATGAAAACCGCTTGCTCCGAAGAGTTCTGAGGATCATCCGCCAATGAAACATCTTGATCGCCGCATACCTTCGTGTGAGCAAGACTACAAGGGCTTTGCTTAGACCGGTGTTCCATACTCGGACTCCGACCTCGCACGCAAAACCGGGAAGGGATTCGAACACGAGTGCCATAATGCGGCACTGCTAACAGCGAAGCTCGGAGCTAAAGACTCGAACAAGCACGCTGCAGATCCATGTAAGAATTCCTCAACTACCGCCACTGCAACAATGAATCTCTCAACATCCTCTGCTAGTCACTCTCGAAGTCATTCACACACAGCACAGCCCGAGACTTCTGGAGGCCTCTGGGTCCTTCATATGGGTAGAACGAGCTTCGGTCCAAGAGACCTCTGAAGGTCTCTCGGCCCTTCATATAGGCAGAGCAAACTCCTGTTCAAGAGGCCTCTGGAGATCTGTCGGTATAACAAATTCCTTTCCACGAGGCTTCTGAAGGTCTCTCGGCCCTTCATATAGGTATAACAAATTCCTTTTCCAAGAGGCTTCTGAATGTCTCTCGGCCCTTCATATAGGTATAACAAATTCCCTTTCCAGAGACTTCTGGAGGTCTTTGAGGCCTTCATATAGGTATAACAGATTCCTGTCCAAGAGGCTTCTGAAGGTCTCTCGGCCCTTCATATGGGTATAACAAATTCCTTGCAAGAGGCTTCTGAAGGTCTCTCGGCCCTTCATGTAGGTATAACAAATTCCTTTTTTAGAGGCTTCTGGAGGTCTTTGAGCCCTTCATATAGGTATAACAAATTCCTTTCCAAGAGACTTCTGGAGGGCTAAGAGGCTTCTGAAGGTCTCTCGGCCCTTCATATAAGTATAACAATTTTTTTCCAAGAGGCTTCTGAAGGATTCTCAGCCCTTCATATAGGTACAACAAAGAGGCTTCTGGAGGTCTTTGAGCCCTTCATATAGGTGTAACAAAATATTTTCCAAGAGGCTTCTGGAGGTCTTTGAGCCCGACCCTTAAAATCTTAATTCTGAGCT